TACTCAGAATAGATCAAAAACCTAAATGTTTAGAGAGCTAAAACTATAAAATGCTTACAAGATAAGATTGGGGTAAATCTTCATGACCGTAGATTTGGCAATTGATATTTAGATTTGGCATCAAATGTACAAGCAACAAAACAAGAAATCAATAGATTGGACTTCATCAAAATAAAAAAAAACATGTGCCTCAAAGTACACTATCAAAAAAGTGGAAAGATAATCCACAGAATTGGATAAAATACTTATATTTAGAATATATAAATAATCTTATACTTCAATAATAAAAAAGACAAGTAACCCAATTAAAAAATAGGGGCAAAATTTTTTGATTCAACATTCCTCTGAAGATCATATACAAATGGCCAAGAAACACATGAAAAAATTCTTAACATCATGGGTTGTCAGGGATTTGCAAATCAGAACCATAGTTAACTACTACTTTATACCCACTAGGATGTTTATAATAATAAAACAGAAATAATGAATATTTGTGAGGAGATGGATAAATTGCAATCATTGTTGTTGGAAATGTAAAATGGCACAGACACTGTGGCAGTTTGACATTTCACCAAAATGTTAAATATAGAGTTAGCATTTGACCTAACAATTTAACTCCTAGGTATATACCAAAGAGACATAAAAACATATATCCATACAAAAACTCAATATTAATGCTCATGTTAGCATTATTCATATTAGCCAAAGGGTGAGAAAACCTAGATGTCCATAATTTAATGAATAGTAAAATAAAATGAGTGACATACTAATATATGCTATAACATGGATAAATCTTGGAAAAAAGCTAGTCACAGAAGCCCCCATATTTTATGATTGTCATTTATGTAAAGTGTTCAGGATAGATATATCTACAGTGATAGAAATTATATAGTGGTTGCTTAAAACTGAGATGTGTGTGTGGCAGAATTTAGGGGTGATAGCTAAAGGGTGTGGGGTTTCCTTTTGGGAATAATAAAAATATTCTAAATTGATTGTGTTAATGGTTGCATAATTCTTTTAAAAACTGAAAACCATTGAATTTTATACTTTAAATGAATGAGTTGTATGATATATAAATTATCTATAATAATAAAAGCATAGTATGCAAATTAGACTGGACAGTCGAACAACCTTCCAGATGTCATTCCAGACATCCTTCTGGATGAAGCCGCCACAACTGGGGCTGAGTTAGAGGTAGTTAGGGGTAATCAGACAGGCAAGCGAGTGGTTAGGGGTGATCAGGCAGGCAGGCGAGTGGTTAGGGGTGATCAGGCAGGCAGGCAGAGGGGTTAGGGGTGATCAGGCAGGCAGGCAGGCAGAGGGGTTAGGGGCAATCAGGCAGGCAGGCAGGCAGGCAGACAAGCGATTAGGAGCCAGCAGTCCCGGATTGTGAGAGGGTGCAGGCCGGGCTGAGGGACCCCCGTGCACTAATTTCGTGCACCGGGTCTCCATAATCACAATAAAACTGTTACAAACAAACAACTCTGTAATTATTCACTTCAGTTAAAGCTTTATATAGAGGCTGATGCTACTGGTTCCAGGATCACATTTTGAAAACCATTGAATTAAAGGATCTTTAATTAACCTTTATTTTCTCCCCAATTCCCAGTTCACTAAAGATCTCCATTCTCTGACAATTCTAGATAAAATTTTACTATAAATTTCTGTATGGTCTAATGGGTTGCCATAGGATTCCCCTCTGATTTACTGTAGTTTAGAGTCTCACAGTCATTGAATGGGATAGCTTAGGAATTTACTCTCTATTCTTATTCTGCAGGATGAGGAAGAGGATCTCAGGACTGAACTCAACCTTTTGAAGAAGTACTCTTTCCACAAAAACATTGTGTCCTTCTATGGTGCATTTTTCAAGCTGAGCCCTGCTGGCCAGAGGCACCAACTTTGGGTATGTATTAATTACCTTGACTTTATTCTATAATACCAGGTCACACTTGAGGATGCACACTTTCATAAGCTGAAATACCACACAACCAAAACAGTTTTTGTTTCACTCCAACCATCACTCAGCTTTGTACCCTACACAAATTTCTTTCTAAAGGCATGTACTCATTCTGTTTTCAATAAATCCTTTGCAGCATCTCCAAACACTACCTCTCCTTTAAGGCTTAGCTCAAATCCTACCTCCGGATTAAATATACCTGGTGTGTTACCTGTCTTCCCTCCTTCCCTAGATATTTATATTTTTAAAAATATTTTTTATTGATTTCAGAGAGCAAGGGAGAGGGAGAGAGAGATAGAAACATCAATGATGAGAGAGACTAATTGATCAGCTGCCTCCTGTGCGCTCCCTACTGGGGATCAAGCCCACAACCCAGGCATGTGCCCTGACCAGGCTTTCCAACAGTTTTTTTAATTCATTGAATTTACTGGAGTGACACTGGCTAATAAAACTACATAGGTTTCAGGTGTACAATTCTATAACACAGCATCTGTAGATTGTGTTGTGTGTTCACCACCCCAAGTCAAGTCTATTTCCATCATCATTTATCCCTCTTATACCCTCTTCTACATCTCCTAGCCCCTTCTCCCTCTGGTAATCATCATATTGTTTTCTGTGTCTATGAGGTGTTTTTTTTCTTTGCTTAGTCCCTTCACCATTTTTACTCAGCCCCCCAAAGCCCTCCTTTCTGACAGCTATCAGTCTATTCTCTGTATCTATGAGTCTGTTTCTATTTCATTTGTTAGTTTATTTTGTTCATTTAATTCCACATATAAGTGAAATTATATGGTAAATTGTCTTCCTTGACTGGCTTATTTCACTTAGCATAATACTCTCCAGGTCCATTCATGCTGTCATAAAAGGTAAGATTCCTTCTTTTTATGGCTGAGTAGTATTTCAATGTGTAAATGTACCACAGATTTTTTTACCCACTCATCTACTGATAAAGAACTTATACAATTCAAGACCAAAAATCCAAAAATCCAATTTAAAATGGGCAAAGGTCCTAAATAGACACTTCTCCAAAGAGGACATACAGATGGCTAATAGACATATGAAAAGATGCTCAATGTCACTAATCATTAGAGAAATTCAAATTAAAATCACAGCAAGATTTCACCTCACACCTGTCAGAATGGCTGACACTAATTCAACAACAACAACAATAACAACAACAACAACAAAAGTGTTAGCAAGGATGTAGAGAAAAGGGAACTCCTGTGAACTGTTGGAGGGAATGCAGATTGGTGTAGCCACTGTGGAAAGCAGTATGGAATTACCTCAAAAAATTAAAAATGGAACTGCCTTATGACCCAGTGGAAGAATTTATCTGAAGAGACCTGCAACAATATATGTACCACTGTGTTCATTGCAGTGTTATTTACAATAGCCAAGATTTGGAAGCAACCCAAGTGCCCATCAGTAGATGAGTAGATGAAAAAGCTTTGGTACATTTTTCAACTCTTTATAATTCTACCAGCCTTTGGAGTCTTCCATCAGACAATTGAGCCAATCTTTGCAGTGTCTTAATCTCTAAACATTACATATAAATGCAAGTCATATGGATTAAAACTCTTGAGATATTTTCAGATAATTACTTTCTAATTCTTGATACTTTGCTGGCTTCACTGCAGATGGTGATGGAATTATGTGCAGCAGGCTCAGTTACTGATGTAGTCAGAATGACCAGAAATCAGAGTTTGAAAGAAGATTGGATTGCTTATATCTGCCGAGAAATACTTCAGGTAAGTCCTTATATAATTACTGTCTTCTGGCCTTGAAAATACCTGGGAGTAATATATACAATGTACCTTATAACTGTTCCTATAGGTTGGTTTAAAAATTCTAAGCATGACCTCTGAATCAGGATACCAAAAAAGAGACCAAAAGGGTTTAGAGCAGTGGTCGGCAAACTCATTAGTCAACAGAGCCAAATATCAACAGTACAATGATTGAAATTTCTTTTGAGAGCCAAATTTCTTAAACTTAAACTATATAGGTAGGTACATTGTTATTAACTTAATTAGGGTACTCCTAAGGCTTAGGAAGAGCCACACTCAAGGGACCGAAGAACCGCGTGTGGCTTGCGAGCCGCAGTTTGCCGACCACTGGTTTAGAGAAAGCAGATTTTCAGGTGATGTCCTTAAACTTTAAGGTAGACCACAAGATTTGTAAGCAGGTTCTTCCAAATCATGACCTTTAATGGCTATGTCAGATTTAAGCTATTGTGCTCAATGGATCATGGTCATAACTACATGGAATATTTGTTAAGTTATTATGATTTTAGAGTTATTTTTAAAGCATAGAACTGTCATTAGAAATTAAGATAGAAGGCAGTGTTTTATAAAATGTCCCCAAATCATTTTGCAGACAGATATCCTCTTTAAAAAAGCCCTATTCTTAAAACTTTATTTTGAATACCAAATTGGATGAGAATGACAATCTTGATCTACCAAATCCAATTTTTTCCTTGTGACTTAAGTGCTTAGGGAACACCCAAGAAAAATATTAACAGAACTAAACAGCAGCACTAATACAAAGTTAAAATGTCCTTCTTCTCATTACTTGTGGCAATAGTGTGAATAGTTAAGAATGCAAATGATAGATTGAGTTTAAATTCTGGGTCATTATGTATTAGCTGTGTGTCCTTGAGTCAGTTACTTAATTTCTTCAAATCTCACCTTTCTCATCTATAACATGGGGTAATATTAGCACCTTCCTCAAAGGGTTGCTGTGAGAATTTAATATTTATTGCATGTAAAGCACTCAGCACAGTGCTTGGCAAAGAGTAAGAACTCAATAAGTAGTAGCTGTTTTTACTGTTACTTCTATTATTAATCCCCAGTTAGTATCTGGAATAATATCACTGAAGCCAGGTCATACGTTAGCCAGGTCACGGGTTAATTTCAGAGGAGCCAGTATGGTAAGCCAATACAAATTGTAAATGCTTTAAAATGAATTTTTACATTCTTGCAAATTCTCAGCCTACAAGGTTGACTGGAAAATATTTTTTACTAAACAAATGGTAGGAATAGAGCAAAACAGTGTCTGAACTATAATTATAAGATGTCCAGACCTTCACTCTTATGGTTTGTTGGAAATATGGATGCTAGAAAAGAAGGTAAATGGTCCAGTGTATACACAAACATTACTTTTTGATGTTCTTTTTGATGTTCTTTTTTTTTGGTGTCCCGATTTATTTTTCTTCCCTAATAGCCAAAAATAGTATTTCTGGGAACTGGTTATAGTAATTCCAGTCTAAAGAAATAATTTTGTCTGAAAAATGCAAATCTGGGCCATTTTTATTCCCAAAAGTTTTTCCAAAGATATTAAGAACATTGGAGCTCCAGTGGCGCAATCGGTTAGCGCGCGGTACTTATAAGATATTAAGAACATTATGTGAAAAAAAGAAAATATATATGCTGATGTGGCTTTTAAAAAATAAATATATTATATGCAGGGCTTAGCTCATCTTCATGCACACCGTGTAATTCACCGGGACATCAAAGGTCAGAATGTGCTATTGACTCATAATGCTGAAGTAAAGCTAGGTAAGTTTATTCTTACAATACCTTAAGTGAAGCCCAAAATATCTTAATGGAGAAAAGTCCTTTAAATAATTGTGTTTCCTATCATGTTTCTAACAATTTCATTTACTTGTTTAGGCTGTGTCTTCCCTGCCTGCAAAACCAGTCGAAATTTGAATATTTGTTTGGAAGGGAGGTGGGGTAAGACAAAGATGCACCTAACTGCTTCTCTGACATCATATAAAGGGTGTCCCAAAATTCACGCAAGAAGTAATTTTCATACAAAATACAGGTTTATAATTAAAAAATTGTAAATTTTTTACTGATTCATAAGGTAGACAGTATAGGGTTATGTATGGAATAGCATATTGGGTAAATGGCCTCCATGTCTTTGCTGGCACATACGCACTCTTTTGTTGAAATTTTCATGACCGTTTTGCATAAATGTGGCTGAATTTCGATGAGGCTCATTTTCGTCTTGATGGCTTGGTTAATCAACAAAATTGTCGCATTTGGGGTTCAGAAAATCCACAAGTGATTGTTGAGAAACAAATGCATCCACAACATGTCACTGTTTGGTGTGGATTTGGGGCTGGAGGCATCATCGGACCATTCTTCTTAAAAAATGTGGCTGCTCAGGCAATATAAAAAGAGTGCGTATGTGCCAGCAAAGCCATGGAGGCCATTTACCTGATATGCTATTCCATACATAACCCTATACTATATTCTTTATGAATCAATAAAAAATTTACAATTTTTATTTTGTATCAAAATTACTTCTTGCGTGAATTTTGGGACACCCTTTACATGTGATTTTAGATTTATCATATTCTATCATATTCTAGCATATTTTTTAATCCTCACCCAAGAATATTTTTCCATTGACTTTTAGAGAGAGTGAAAGGGTGGGGGGAGAGAGAGAGAGAGGGAAAGAGAGAGAGAGAGAGAGAGAGAGATGTGAGAGAGACGCATTGACTGGTTGCCTTCCATACACACCCTGACCAGGGCAGGAGATCGAACCTGCAACCAAGGTATATGCCCTGGGCCAGGGATCAAACCCGAGACCCTTCAAACTGCAGGTGGACGCTTTAACCATTGAGTAATTGGCCAGGATCCCAGCATATTTTTAAGCAACATTTTCCGTTTTTAAAACAATCTTTATTGTTGAAGTAATTATTTCCCCCAGTCATTGTTCCCCTCCACTGTTCCTGCCCCACCCCTTCCCCATCCCACTGTCTATATCTATAGGTAAAAACCATCACTTCCCCCTTCCTTCTGAGATTCATCAGTCTTTACCATGCTTCCTCTGATTCTATTTTATTCATGTTTATTTCATTCATTATATTTCTTGTTTATTTTGATTTTTAGATTCAAATGTTGATAGATATGTATTTGTTGCCATTTTATTGTTCCTATTTTTTTCCCTTCTTCTTCTTCAAGAATACCCTTCAACATTTTATGTAATATTGATTTTGTGGTGATGAGCTCCTTTAGCTTTTTCTTATTTATGAAGCTCTTTATCTGACGTTCAATTCTAAATGATAGCTTGGCTAGGTAGAGTAATCTTGATTATAGGTCCTTACTGTTCATCACTTTGAATATTTCTTGTCACTCCCTTTTGGCCTGCAAAGTTTCTATTGAGAAATCAGATGACAATCATACAGGTGCTCCCTTGTAGGTAACTAACTGCTTTTCTCTTGCTGCTTTTAAGATTTTCTCTCTGTCTTTAACCCTTGGTATTTTAATTATGATGTGTCTTGGTGTGGGCCTCTTTGGGTCCCTCTTGTTTGGGATTCTCTGTGCTTCCTGGACTTGTAAGTCTATTTCTTTCACCAGTTAGGGGAAATTTTCTGCCATTATTTCTTCAAATAAGTTTTCAATATTTTGCTCTCTCTCTTCTCCTTCTGGCATCCCCATAATGTGAATGTTGGTACACATGAAGCTGTCCCAGAGGCTCCTTACTATCTTCATATTTGGGGATTCTTTTTTCTTTTTGCTCTTCTGATTGGGTGTTTTTTGCTTCCTCATATTCCAAATTGTTGAGTTAATTCTCAGAATCCTCTACTTTACTGTTGAATTCCTGTAAATTATTCTTTATTTCAGTTAGTGTATGCTTAATTTCTGATT